TTTTTTTTTTTCTTGATCGCTTCTATTAGCATTTTAAACGGTAGCTGCAAGTTGTGGGTGTTGTTGAAGTTTTCAAGTGCCAATAAATAGTGGATAGACATCTGGTGGCTGGTCGCGAATGCTAAATAAATCATATAAATTACTTAAGCGATTGTGTTCTTTTAATATGACAACCTTCCGTTCATGGAAGCCAAATAATAAATCAATAATATTTCATATGTCGAGGTGTGGTTGCAGAGTTTCGACTTATAGCGTTTGTTTGTGGTTCGTTTATGGGTTAATAAATGTAAATCCGAATTGGCAGTTGAATTCTCGTTCCACAACTTATTTATGTGTTATGAACATCAGGAGCTATTTCAAGAGTCAGATTAAGCTCTAGCTGTGTTTCTCATAACAAATTTAGGCCACCTTAATCTGTATTATCATAATCATAGCAAGTAAGGAAGGCCTAAGATTGCCTCTCGCAATTGGGGTATTGGGAAAATTTTATATTAAACGAACACACCCATTGTCTAATTTTGACACCTACTCGTATAAAACATTTTTGTAGACGGTGAAATTTAATGCTTCTGACGTATTTGTTCAACGAGTTGTCGCACTTTTAGTAGTTTTCAACATAACTGTTATATGGAAGTGGAGTGGATATAATCTGTTTTCACCCAATTTCAGAGCGTATTAAAAAGTACTAGACATACCTCCGCTTACTTTGTGAGTTATGCACATTAAACCTATTAGAGAGAGGGACCACGTCTACTTTTTAGAAAGCTTTAAACAACCGATGCAAATTCATTCTTCGATGTTATGTACCTTGTTTCAGTTTTTATTACTTCACGACAACTTAAGTGAATTATACTCAAATTTGGTGTGTTATTAACTTATATTATAAGTTGTGTACTCACTTAGTTTCATTAACACGTTTTCCTTCCAAAGGGTTAAATTTAATATATTGGGTATATTAGGATAAAGTTCAGGAGAAGGCCAATACCAATTCGATTCATATTCAACACTAAACTAAAGTAATATACTTAATTTTATTAAAAAGCACAAACATTTTCGGACTTAAGTTGTATTATTTTGAATATTATATGTCCACTTGATTTTGCTAAGACATCTTATTTATTGACGGATATATGCGGTATAAATTCAACCGGAAGTTTGAAATTCGTAGGTTATTATTGGCCCGATTTTATCCGTTTTAGGCGGAAGGACACACTGTTATTAGAAAGCGACGCTCTCTTATTTATTTAAGTTATCTTATATATTGACCGGTATAACCACAACCTGAAGATCGATCTTTCTATTAGGTAGGGGAGTATTGAACCAATGTTATCCTTTTTTGGTATCATGATATTTTTTTTTCCAGGAAAAGATGCTCCATGACTTTTATGAAGGTACTTCACAGATTGACCTATATTTTTTTTTAAATGTCAAAGCCATAGGCACTGAAGTCCATTGGCTTGAAACGTTATTAATTTAAACTATTTAAAGACATAAATTCGCGGACCTTAACCCTTTCGGGACGGCTTTTTCGAGCAATGCTAAAAAAAAATTGTAATTGGAGTAGGTTATAAATGATGAAAGTCATTTGTAAACTATTAATAAATGAAAAATATGAAACAGTAATCGGGTGGCCTGGGGTGTGGTGACAAACCATTGTACCATCCGGTCCTGGTTGAATGACCGACGAATAGCTGCGGTTTGTAAGCCTTCCTGGATTAGTTCCTCAGCTAAAGTAATCAAAAATGATTTGAATGTCATCTTTTTTCGATTGAGGTCGTGATAAATGGCCCTTGCGTTTACAGCCACCATCACTTTCTTCCACCACTTATCTGATTTCCGATCATATTCGTAAAGGCCACACGTTTGATCAGCCAAGTCAACGCCGCCCATGATCTCGCGATAAAATTTTATTTGACTTGGACATGGGACTTAAATTTTTTCTCCTGTTTTCAACGTTTTTGTAATGCTAGTAACTGTTGCCTGGTGAGAATTGCTTAGTACCAAGACTTCTTTGGTGCCTTGCAATGTCGCGGATAGAAGACCAGATGATGTGCACTTGAATTCCGTTTCACCTCTTTTCCATCTGTTGTCAGAAAATTAGGCATATTTTTCCTGTTTGCCATAACGGTTCCCACGGCTGGAAAGGAAATAGTGTTCAATAAATTTACAGATGTAAAAAACTGATCGAAACAAAATTATCTTTTTCGGCGATTGATCTAGGTAATTTGGACACAACTCGCTCTCCCAGTGTTCCAGTTTCTTCTTGTAGCTCCCTACCATGGTATACATATGTTGAAGTCATATGAATACCCGGCAACAGCATCGCATTGAAGCCACATTTTTATACCACGTCTGACAGGCTTGAGTGGCATGCATTGTTTCAATGTGCGGCGTCACATAAACTTCGTCATTGATTCATCAATGCTTGGTAGACAAAAACCTGTCGACATTTCTGAAATGTTTTCTTCAAACATTCCACCAAATCATCAACATAGTAATTTTGTTACTATTCTGTGGCTTATCTGGATGTAAAAAATACATTTTTAAAGTAATAATAGTCAATGATCTTGTGCGATTGCGTCTAAGTTGCAATAACACTATATATAAATATTTTCACACTAAATATCTTGCAAAGCTTCGTAAAATCTTTGAAAAATGTTGTAATATATACTTTTTGGAATGTATTAAAGAATGCTTATCATCTTTAATATATATTCTAGAACCAAGCAACATTGAATTTGCAATTTTTAGAGGTGTTTAAACTTTAGGTCCTACACATATTTACCATCCGGATCGAATGGATTAAATACACTTTGTGTGCAATGTTTTATTTCGATAACGTAATTAGGTCTTGATTTATATACTGTAAAATAAAAAAATCAGATAGAATATAAAATTGTGATATAAAGGAAGCCAGGAAGGTTGTAGCCCGATTTTGTCAATTTCCTTATGTAACGTTAGGATACAAAAATAATGTTACGCACCAAATTTTCAAATTGGTTGAGTGCATTCTGATTGTCATCCATTGTCCAATTTTTACAACGCTCCCCTTTGACACCCTTAAGTGCCGTCTTAGCTGTTAAATTGTATTCTTCTGACGTCTTTATTTAGCAAGCTATATGAAGAGTGGGCATGGATATTTTCCGATTTCAACTATTTTCAGACTGTATGATGAGGTGTCAAAATAATTGCTCCATATCAGGTTTGGTTGATCCAGCTCGTATAGTTTGTGAAAAATGTACACTAAACCTATTAGAGGGCGGCGCCACGCCCACGTTTTTTAAATTTTCAGTTCACAGGTGACCCTTGATACTGCGATCCCCTGTATCAAATAACAGTTTAATATCTTATGTTTTTGTTTAATGGCATTTTGTGGGCGTGGCAATGATGTGATTACGATAATTTGCAATACCGACCTTCTTAGATACCAAGAATAACTTATACTAAGTTGCATCAAGATATCTCAATTTTTACTCAAGTTATCATTTGCACGGACATTAGTCATCTCGTCATCCTAATCATTTATATACATATATTAACTTGATATCTATCTCGACTAATTCTAGGTGATTAAACAACTAAAGTTAGTTTTAACAAGAGAATTTCGAGAACATAACGCACTAGGTGCTATGTTTTCATTTAAGGAGTTAGGGAAGTTTAGAAATTGCAGAAACTGTTTAGTACTACACTTAAGGTCACTAAAAACAGTATTCAGTTGGTAGAATGTTGACGTATTTCAAGTTTTATCGGATCTTAAAATATGCTATCTATGAACTAATCGAACTTTTATTATTGTAATTATTGCAAGATTTTAATATCACAGAAAAAATAATAAGAAAATAAAAAGAAAACCTGAATGCACCTTTACTTTACACAGAACGTACGCCGTTTGGAGTGTAGATGATTTCATTTCTCTCGAATTAATATGGGAGTGTAGAATAGTACTGGTATATAAAGTGGTTTACTTAATCACTTCAATAATTAAATTTTGAATAGAGCCATTAATTGTCTTTGCTTTGAATTATAAAGCCGCAAATTCTTCTCACTGGATTAAGCTCGATCTTAATAATTATTAATTAAAAGGCTATCAAATGAAATACTCACAGACCTTGTCAGAAGCGATCACTAAATATATACATAAACCAATAATAATTACAAGGTTATGTAAGAAATCAGTTTAGAAAATTGCTATTAAAGCTTATTATTAAAATTATAGTAGTCATTGGAGAAAGGCACGTAATCTCCCTTATACAATTACTTATTGCAAATTAAAAACAATGCAGCCGGTGTGTCACGAAGAAATCAGTAAATCTGCCCAATCTGCTAAACCAGTTTCAGTAATGCCATTTTATAGTTGACTTGCACACAAAACACATTAGCGTAGATGACTGATATATAATTATCAGGGATGGGGTCATAAAGAGTTTAAAAACAGCTGCTTTTTGCATCCTATGCAATTAAAATACAGCTCTTGTATAATTGACTTGTTGCTAACAGTAAAAATTAAGTTAAGAACGCTACGCCCACCTTGCCTGCAAACGATCACACATCTGTGTCGGGCTGCTGCACCTGTTGCCTGACAATGAGTAAGCATTTTCCTACAAGAGAGTGCAAAATATCGAACAGATGTTTAACTACAATAATGCATTAATAAGTGGAAATAAATTATAATCAGTAATTTATGTTAAGAGTATATTACTTATATCTGCATGACAACAAAACATTTTTTTCTTTTACTTAGTTTTGTAGTTATCATTAATAGCTGGTATAAATAAACCTGTTGCTCAACACTTGTACACTTTAAGTAATCTTAAAAAACATGCAATAATTACTAAACTATCCACATAATGTTGCTATAATAATCAATAAACTAGCGAATTAATGAATTATACATTCTCTTACTCGGTTTTATTGACACTTCAAATTAAGTCGTTTTTCTTTCATAATAGCTTTCGATAATTTACACATTTCAATTTTACAATAACCTTTACCTTTTCCAGATTCTGGCGAGACGTATTTTACCACTACTTATGGGGTACCAGCCGATTCTTACACCGCCTTCAACTACTTCAGCAATCCATATTCACATCAGTTTACTTTGCTTTAAACGAAATGTGGATAAAAACCAGTCATAGTTATATGTAGTTATGTGTTATATGTTGTAGTTAAATAATGTTAAATAAAACTAAAATGTATGAATATAATGTTGATTTAAATAAAGAAAGATAGATTATATAAAAGGAAGTTTACTTTAATGCAGGATGTGGACAAAAATTAATTATATATTAGTTGTATTTATATTAGCGACTTCAACAGATATGCGATAGGCTCAAAACGTTTCATATATTTATGATGACCCTTTGATCTGCCTCTTCAAGTTTTTGACATTACAAAGGATCGGTGTTTAAACTGTTCAAGTGGGAAGCTATGCGTTTTAATTGAGTCGGACAAATTTTGAGCTGTACCCTTTCATCTGTATTTAGAATCTATTTAAAGGACTCCGGTTAAATTGAAATATTTATATAATTTATGGTTATATTTGTGTCTCAGAATTATGCTCTCCAATTTCAAGCGCGATACAATAGTGCTAACTTAGTAATACATATATTTGTATTAACTAATAATTATAAATCCGTATACTCCATACCCCCATTAAAACACTGATTTTATTACTTAATTTTATATATTGCATAATAATTTTTATTAATAAGAAAGGAAGTGAATGCTACAGGATTTCAGAGCACAATTATTTTTCATTCTGTCAAAAGCCTACCATTCAATGGAACTGCCACCTATAAGAAACATAAAAATTACTGAAGCTAAAATGCTACTGTCTACCGGGTTTGGAATATAATTTCAAAGAAGCATTCCTTAAGTTAGTTTATTGTTGATTTACTCAACTCAAGTGTATAGGATCTACTCCACCGGCATCGACAATTATTTATCTATATGATCAAACCATATGTGTAAATGAAATGAGTGCGATTTCCATAACGGGTCAGTAAATTTAACTGTTAATAGCTCTGCTTTGTGTGCATTTATATTTTGCATGAATAAAGTTGGAAGCCATAAATCCATCGACTGGAAAAAAAAAACGTCAGCGATGTGAAAATTGCATGAAATTGCGCATTTTGCACCTTGACAACAGCGAAGGCAGACAATTGACTCCAGTTGCTGAATGAAATGAGTATTAAACAGCTGCCGCTGACGCCACAAGCCTTGCCGAACGCACGTTGATCAAGTCGGTGCACGACGCCGACAAAAGCTGGTGCAGGTATGAATAGGAAGAGTGACGTGAGAGCAGCTCCCCCTATCTCGTGTGCAATTGAGACGATTGGTGTTTGCTCAATCGGTAGCTTTATGCATTTTTATACTAACAGCAGTTGTGCTGTGAGTGTATGAAAAATATTGCGCGACATAGAAGCGCATGTGCAAAAATAAATCACACACATAGCAACAAACACTTATACGCATACGCCCCCCATATTAGATTTGTGTGCTTGCGCTTTCAGATGAAGCGGCTGTTCACACCGCGAATACTGTCATGTTGAGTTCACATTGCATTACAGCGCATGTTAATGAAGAACTAAAGAAGCCGGAGACAAAACAGCAAGTTGCAAGGCAGAAGAAAATAAAAAAAAATGGATTCTCTGCAACTTTTACGTTTTCCGGCAACTAAACATGGTTCCGTGCGGGACGCTGTACTACGTGTGAATTTTCCGCAAACAAATTCAAAAACACAATACCGAAACGTTCGAACGGCGAGCAATGGCTTCAGAGATTTAAAAGAAGTAAAGTTGAAAAGCGGTATGTAAAGTCAAAATGTATGAAATTGTTTGAAAGTGTAGATAATTATGTAAGAAACCTTAGTTCATATTATTAACGCTGATTTGGTGGCCTTGTAAGTTATGTAAACAGTTAAAGCTGTAAACTTAGATTACGTCTTCAATTAGCACAGCGGCAGACTTTACCTTCACCCATATATGTGCTTAGGTATTATTCAAAACTTTGACTTATATTAAATATGAAATCACTTTTGCTGTTATGAACTGCAAAAATGTTGCTTAAAAATACACATTAAAAAAACGGAAATCTGCACATTTATGTAATATAAGTATACTTGAGCTGTAAAAAGTTAGATTTTGTAAAATTATTTTAAATTTGTTTTTACAAATGTGAGGCGTATTTATATTTGACGATCACCGAAAGAAAAAGTTGCTACCAAACCAATTAAAATCACTTTTGAAAATTAAAAACCCTTTTATGAAAATGTTAAATGTAAATATTAATTTAAGCCCTTTAATTAATAAAATGAGATAGTAAAATCATTAACAGGCGATTTAAGGGGGGTTTTCCAATATTAAAATCCAAGGCCAATCCATGGATATTATTCCTCTCAACGCTGCCTTGTAAAATTGAAAAGTAGTTTAGAGAGTCAATTCTATAATTTAATAGAAGTATAATTGCAAAATTTTTTGTAATTTTTTTCTGATAATAGAAATTATGTAAAACATTTTTAATAGCAAACAGTATGATCTGTAAAGATCTATCCCGGTTTATGTGATTGTTGTAGCGTTCGCATTCTAATGTTGTACCATATTGCACCAATGATTGAATAATCAGTATTAGAATCTGTATAAGTTTGTGATCGTTTGTGTTTCTGTGATTAAATTGGCAGCACAACGTATGCTATTGGTAGCACTGGCAAAATATTGTATAGTAACATACAATTTTCAAGATGATTTCCTTGAGCGGCAAATTAACAAAAATGGGAAGTTGCACTTAAACTGAGTTTTACAATTTATATTTTTCTAGTGAGAGGGGAATTTATATCAGAGAAGCGGCTAGTTCATATCTGTGAGAATATATTTTTAAAAAGGAATCTGAAGTGTTATATTTTCTTATCAATCAAATATAAATAAAAGTAAAGTTTAGCAACATTTTTATAAAAAATATATATCATAATTTTTGGGCATGCAGAAACTACTTCTTTTGGAAAGTACATTTGCACTCAAAACACACCTCGTCAATCCTTGAAATTTCCCAACAAAAGTTAAAACAGTTAAGTTTAACAAAATTCTCTTAGTATTTTCATTTTATTAATACTGGTATTATATAGAATTATTATTGTATACAATTTCTTCATGTGGTATATTATTTAAGTATTCGTAATATGAGTAACTCCTATCCTGATCCAGAAGGTAAAATTATAAATGAATTGCTGCTATTCCTGGACTCATAAAAGCTGTCAAACTTATATAGTAATATAAATAAAGCATTGTTAAACAAACAGTCATTGAAAACGACACGAGCCAGTGAGTTTTTGCGACAAATGGACTATTTACTTCAAAATTCCAGTAGCTTTATTTGGCTGGCGTATTATGTAGTAATGGCCAAGCAATTCCCAAATGTTCAAAAACTTTCAGGTAACAGTAAATGTAAATTTATTTCTTGATTTTATTTTTGAATGTTATCCTCCGCATCGTTCAATTATCGTTTTTAGGAAATTTCCAAGGCACTAAAATAAACAAATAAAAAAGTAGTTAAGTCATAATAGTGATTATGAAATATATGAGCCTGGTCGTTACTCGCCCGTTACAACACAGTAACTATAAAATATAACAAATTGAATTGCTCCTAATCATCTTTAATCGGGTTATCTGACTTTAGGTTAGGCACTGACACTAAGAGGCATGTTGCTTACTCAAGCTACTACTACTAATTGTTACTAATGAATCAAGTTCAGACATAAAAACAAAACCAACGACAGCAAATTGGACTGACAAGAAATTAGAATTGTGGTATCAGCTTGAGAAAGACAAAAAAGTACCACCGTCGCCAATTCATTCGGAGAAGTGATTTACGACACTTTCGGTGTTCAAGTCAATCAATGTACGAACACGACAGTTGAAATAACAGCAAAAGAGCTGAATTCGGAGGTGTTTTGTTAAAATTGCTTTGCGCGAACAATTTTAATATGCTCTGAGCTGCAGGCGGTAAAAATCGGAATAATAATAGCAATTTGTAGTAGCTGCAACAACAACAAAAACTACTACAACCAAAATCGCCACCAAAGCAATTGTAAAATCGACAGTTTAGAATAGTTTATTATTAGAAGGAGACCATGACGCCACGCTTTTGTTCGCTGAATGACTGACTATTGGGCGATTTTTTGTTGCTGCAAGTGGCAATAAAAACCACCGAGAGAGTTTGGTATTTAGTGATTTGTGTTCGACATTGTGTCTACATGTGTTGACTTTGCTTTTCCAAAACTTCCGCATACATTATAATGATAAAAGAATATGTCGAATTAAATAATTTATTTCAAAATTAAAATAATGCGATGAAGCAGAGCTTATAATTTGCATAGGGATATATGTTTTTCTTACTTTTGGTTTAGGAATTTTGATTATATTTTATATATTTAAATTATATATTTTATTATCTTTATGACACGATCGCATTCTGTGAGCACATTATTTAAACTTAAGCAGATTCTAGCATTATTATAAATGTATCGTATTTATGTATTTAGAGGCCTTATCACCCAACATATTGCACATAATACAATGGTTTTGTTCACCTAACGGTTCTTTGTAACACCTAAAGCTAATCGAGATACAGAGACAACTTGAATTTCTGTCCATCCGTCCGTGCTAGCGATAACTTTAGTAAAAAAATTAAATAACTTAACGACCTATTCTATTAAGGGGGCTGGTATAACAGATAGTCAAAATCGAACTATTACCACGCCCACAACTATAAAACTATAATGTGTTATAATTAAGCCACCAATTGAGCAACAAAAAGGATCTGTGTTAAAAGGGAGATCGCAGCCTTACCCCTTAATAAGTATGATGTACAGTGCGTTCAAAAAATATCGTTTCCTTTTTGCAAAGCGTGGGTGGCATTTATTGAAAAAATTGTGTAATTATATGTAGAATATATATACATTGTTTTGTGATAGCTGACGTTTAATTAATACTTGCTCCAATTTTCCGCCGAATTGGGTATTATAGACAGTGGCGGATCCAAACTTTCTTTCTGCGTCGGATTTTCCTTTCAACATATTTTTACTATTGATGTTACTTTGTAAATTCTTCTAAATTTGAATTAAAACCTCCATGTGTCCTTTGACATTCAAAACCCCCAGTGATTACAGTACTGCTGCGTCTCTGAATTCTGTCCCGTATTGTATTTAGAGTATATATCTAATCCCAATTCAAACAAAAAAATTTTAGGAGTGTTTCTTCTTAAAACGGGGAACAATAGCTTTGTTCTCACTTTTAGATGTCACGTGATTCCTCCCTCTTCCTGGCTAGTCATCTACACTTCCAGTTTCTTTTATCATTTATTTACATTTAAATATTTTATCCCATTTGGGACCTTTAGGATGCTTCGTTAGAAAGGCTCAAAACATTTCTTATACTAAGCATTAATTTTTGTTATTTCACGGCACGACGTGTCACATAAAGAAAATCGAAGAAAACTGATCGAATTGTACACGTCATTGATCGGAATTGAACATGTGTTAATTTGCAAAAAAAAAAAGAACAGTTTGCCGCGAATTGATAGTGCAAAGGAAAAACGTAATTTTTTGAACGCATTGTAGATATCTCACAAACTAAGAAAGCCATTCAACCAAACCTGCTCTGCTTCAACATGTCCATCTAGCACCTCTTCATACAATACAAAGGTTATTTTGATAAGTACTATAGGTGCGTTTGCTTGCTTCCTTCCTTCCTAAATACATAGACCCCATAGTATGTAGACTAGATAATTTTCAATAATTATATCAAATACCACTTGTATATTTGACTATTAATTCACCTTCCGCACGTTTTCCTTTCTCCTCAGAAACTAAACAATTCTAAGACAAAGCCATTATACTTCTCTCAGCGGTGTGGTAAAGTGACTTTGTGCGATTGTTTTGTGGTCAGCAAGGTTATCTTTGCAACTGAAATCTGTGTAATAAACAATGCTTTGACGCTTAATGTAACTTTTATTGTTATTGTTATTTGCAGTGGCTATTGCTTAATTTGTAGTAGTCATTATGACATTTTTGCATTGTTTTATTGTTGTTTTTATTTTCGTTTCTTTTACAGGCCATTCAAAATTTAAATTATGACATGATCTCCAATGGAAATGGAATAGTTCATTCCATTACGATCGTTGCATTGTCAGTGACAACGAGTTGTTGCTTACTGAATTTTTGCCGCTGTAGCTGGTACCACGATTGCGTAAAACGTTCTTGACTGTGGTAACATATTTTTATTTCTTTCATTTTCGTAATCTGTCCGAAAATACCATATATACATAAGTTGACGTCGCCTTTTTATATGTATCTATGATGTGTGTATATACCATACATATTAGTATGTCTCTAATTATCTAAAAGAGTACTTTTCAATCAATACATATTAATATATTATATGTATTGTACATATATACTTTTATCCGTGGCCTTTAGCCAGAATTAACTTTTCTATTATTAGTATCAAAACTATAGAAGTTCAATAACTTTGTGTAGCATATATCATTTCCCCTCCTCGAACTTTGTTTCTTGCATTTTTTTGCTTGTTTTTGCAATTTATGTTGGCTTTACAATTAGCAGTTAACATTGTCCTTGAAATAATCTGTTATAAAAGTTTTTATTTGCATATAACTGTTGCTAATGTTGCTAAGTGTGTTTGATACGTTACTATCACTCAGTGGGTCGCGGGTTCAAATCCGATACAATAAAAAATAAACAAGTAAGGAAGAGCTAAGCTCGGATGTAACCGAACATTTTATACTCTCGCAAAGTCAAATGGTATACTCGTTTGAGATTTCTTTGTGGATTGACTGATATTTTCGGTAGAAGGTCAACTATAGGTACTGGGGTCCACATATTCAGTACCTAGGGGCTTGAACAGTTTTGGTTCGATTTAGAAAATTTTTGGTCACAAGGTGGCATACTTTAAACGTATTATTCACGCAAAGTTTTACGCCGATATAATCATTGTTGCTTGATTTGCATAGTGGAAAGTGAAAGAATCAAGTGGTATTTAAAATGGTGTCATATGGAAAATAGGCGTGGTTGTAATCCGATTTCGCCCATTTTCGCACTATGACATAGAAACATGAAAAGAACATTATGCACCGAATTTGATTGAAATCGGTTAAGCAGATCTCAAGATATGGGTTTTCACCTAAAAGTGGGCTGTGCCACGCCCACTGTCTAATTTTGAACGCGGTTCCTATAAAGTCATCTCATACCATCCCAGAGATAAAATTTAATGTCTCTGGCGCGTTTAGTGCTTGATTTATCGCGCTTTTAGTAGTTTTTAACAGTACCGTTATATGGGGAGTGGGCGGAGTTGCCACCCGATTTCAACTATTTTCACACCGTCACTAGAAGTGCTAAAAACATTTGCTTCCAGTGAATTTTGTTATTATAGCATTAGCGGTTTAGGAGATATACGCATTAAACCTATTAGAGGCGGGACCACGCCCACTTTAAAAAAAAAAATTTTAACTGCAGATGCCCCTCCCTAATGTGATCCTGTGTACCAAATAACAGTCTTGTATCTTATTGCGGAGCTTAGTTATGGCAAGTTATTTGTTTTTGATTAATGGCGTTTTGTGGGCGTGGCAGTGGTCCGATTACGCCCATCTGCAATTCCAACCGTCTCACGGTACCATGAAATATGTCTACCAAGTTTCATAAAGATATCTCAATTTTTACTCAAGTTAGAGCTTGCACGGACGAACGGACAGACAGTCACCCGGATTTCAACTCAAACATCCTGATCATTTATATATATATAACCCTATATCTAACTCGATTAGTTTTAGGTGATACAAACAACCGTTAGGTGAACAAAACTATTATACTCTGTAGCAACAGGTTGCGAGAGTATAAAAATCATAGCAATTTTTTATCTTTTGATCGTCCGAGTGTGTTTCTGTTATGAAAATTCCCCTCAGCTATTGTTAAGACACCTTAAACTTGTAGGACACTTCGAATACCTTCCACAAAACAGAGGCGAAGCACGGCCAAAAATACATATTCGACACATGTTATACCTGGAAATGGATGTTAAAAGTAACTAATGAACCAAAATGAAATGAAAAGTTAATGCAGGAATTCCGGTTCCAATCTCTTGAAGATTAATGACTGATTTATGTGCTTTGTAAGTTATATGAAAGCATGTGTGTATGTAAATTTATAAAAGTTCAGAGACCCGCATGAATGCTCTAAGAGAATTATTTGAATGTCGGCAAAAACCAATAACAATAAAAAATAGTTAAACCGTAACGAAACGAAAAAAACTGTGTTCAATTCATTCAGCCGTCAAAAAGGCGGGAAGTGGCAAAAAATAAGAAACAACTTTATATAAATAGTAATCGGTTAATTATTAGACGCTGTATGTTTATACTCTCGCAACCTGTTGCTACAGAGTATAATAGTTTTGTTCACCTAACGGTTGTTTGTATCACCTAAAACTAATCGAGTTAGATATGGGGTTATGTATATATAAATGATCAGAATGAAGAGACGAGTTGAAATCCGGGTGACTGTCTGTCCGTCCGTCTGTTCGTCCGTTCGTCTGTTCGTCCGTCCGTGCAAGCTATAACTTGAGTAAAAATTGAGATATCTTTATGAAACTTGGTGCACATATTTCCTGGTACCGTGAGACGGTTGGTATTGCAGATGGGCGTAATCGGACCACTGCCACGCCCACAAAACGCCATTATTCAAAAACAAATAAATTGCCATAACTAAGCTCCACAACAAGATACAAGACTCTTATTTGGTATACAGAAAGGGGCACACTAGAAAGGGGCATCTGCAGTTAAAATTTTTTTTTTAAGTGGGCGTGGTCCCGTCCCTAATAGGTTTAATGAGCATATCCCCTAAACCGCTAACGCAATAATAACAAAATTTACTGGAAGCAAATGGTTTTAGAACCTCTACCTACAGTGTAAAAATGGGTGAAATCGGGTGGCAACTCCGCCAACTCCCCATATAACGGTACTGTTAAAAGCTACTTAAAGCGCGATAAATCAAGCACTAAACGCGCCAGAGACATTAAATTTTATCTCTGGGATGGTATGAGATGACTATAGGAACCGCGTTCAAAATTAGACAGTGGGCGTGGCACAGCCCACTTTTAGGTGAAAACCCATATCTTGAGATCTGCTTAACCGATTTCAATCAAATTCGGTGCATAACGTTCTTTTCATGTTTCTATGTTATAGTGCGAAAATGGGCTACAATGACGCCTATTTCCCATATAACACCATTTTCAATTCCATCTGATTCTTTCACTTTCCACTATGCATATCAAGCAACAATGATTATATCAGGGTAAAACTTTGCGTGAATAATACGTTTAAAGTATTCCACCTAGTGACCAAAAATTGTCTAAATCGAACCAAAACTGTTCAAGCCCCTAAGTACTAAATATGTGGAACCCAGTGCCTATAGTTGACCTTCTACCGAAAATATCAGTCAATCCACAAAGAAATCTCAAACGAGTATACCATTTGACTTTGCGAGAGTATAAAATGTTCGGTTACATCCGAACTTAGCTCTTCCTTACTTGTTAAATATCAATTTTTTTAATTTTGTGAATGTATGAATGTTTAAATTCAAATACATATGAACTCGTATCTACATAACGGTAGAATTTGAAAGTGAAAAAAAGTCAATATGAACAATAAAAGTAAATGGATTTTCGAAACGTAATTTGAAAAGTAAATTAAGTTTTAATCTGTTTAATAAAATTACTTATCTCCAAAAACAGGGTTTTTTTTTTAATTAAGTCCAATCCGTTTGCTATACTCGGAATTACCAAACGATTCTGATGAGAAATTCGGATTGGGTACAAACGGATGTTGTTATCTAGAGTACAAATGAATTGACTATGGAAAGTAGTAAGTTACATGTTTGAAGTCATTGTTTCTCATAATAGCGCTTTATTTCTATATTGAATGGGCGTTGAAATGACAAGCTGAGAGCTTAAACATTATCTGAGATATTCATTATACATTTTATATAATTTTAAACAATCCATCCAGAGATCGGGGACTCACTCACCCACTCACGGGGATAGAGAAATAAAAATGCCACCAGTATAGGTTCCGAAACACCTCTACCGTTTTGTATAGATTTATTATGCTCCCTTCTAAATTTGGCCAATAATTATAGCAATAAGCAAGGAAGAGTTAAGTTCGGGTAAAACCGAACATTTTATACTCTCGCAATTTACAAAGATCTAAGGCGGGGGAATACCTTTGGGTGTTGGCAAAACTTTGTATTTAAAAAGGTTTAATTTAAAGAAACCAAATGGATTACAGTCAAAGTTTTATTTAATTATCTTATATATATTATAAGTCGTAGACTCACTTAGTTTCATTTTGGTTGTTTATATTAATAATAAATATTAAGATCAATATAATTACCGGAATTGAGATATATGTATTAAACTAAGGTATATCCAATATTATACGTTCTATTAATTACACCTATCTTACATATTGGCCGATATATACGGTATAAAATCGCCTGGAAGTTTGAAATTCTTATACATTTTCTTATACCATATAAGGTACAAGCTGTACCTGGCGTGTCCTGCTACGCCCTTTTTGTATTCTCAATATAGTTTTATTCACCAGTTGTTTGTATCACCTAAAATTTATCGAGGTAGATATAGAGTTATATACGGATATAAGGTTGATGGGGCGAGTTCAAATCTGGGTCCTAGTCTGTCCATTTTTTTAAAATTATCGTTAAATCCATTTTTTATGACTTATATACTAACCCAATATCGACGAAATTAGGTTTATAACATTATGACATTCCCGTATTTCTGTGTGGGAATTCTGTCTACAACCTCGCCTTCTTCTCATATAAAACAATTTTAAACTTCTGATTCTGTCACTTCACAGTAT